TTGCCTATAAATATAGGGGTATTGTACACTTTTCAAGACAATCAAACATATATCAATACAAAGCAAGATTATTTTAATATAATTCTGATTTTTAATTCTTATTATAAGAATTTTATAACGCTTCCGCACCAAAATTGGTATCAGAGCAAGGAATTCACCTCAATCTGATGGTTGACGATGGTCCCGATGGCAGTCGAACCGTCGACGACGAATGGAGGCTCGACAAACTCGAACANTGACGATGGTCCCGATGGCAGTCGAACCGTCGACGACGAATGGAGGCTCGACAAACTCGTACTACGAATCGAGGAGATCGATGAAACCCTTCATAACATCACACAGATGGTGACTGCGTTGAGTCTTGAAAGGAATCGCGAACTCATGGAGAAGCAAGCTAACAAGAGTTTGCAAACTTCAACTGCTATGAATGTTGGTTGCTTCAGTTGATTAGAGAGTTTCCTCAAGTCCTAGCTAAATTTGAATACACACAAGTTATCAAGGATTCTACGACAGTCTATCGAGAAAATACGAAAGAGTCCAATTTGAAGTGCAAGAATATTTTCAGAACACGATGCACCATTAACAATAAAGTATGCAAGGTGATAATAAATCATGAAAGTAGTCAGAACTTGGTGTCCAAAGTATTGATGAAAACTTTAAATTTGAAAACTAAAAAATACTCATCTTCCTATCAAGCTTCACAGGGCAAAAAACTCAAAATATGGAGGTAAGTTCGGATTTTTGGGAGAAAAGAGTAATTGATTTTATTGTTAAATGTAAAACAAGTATATACAAGATGAAAAAGGAAAATTTGCACTTTAGTCTCTAACAATAACGAAGACTACAGTTGGTACATGTATTACTATATATTTCAACTCTCTCCCTCAAGTTGGTGAATAGATATCACGCATGCCCAACTTAGAAATCATTGTATAGGATGGACCACTAGCAACTCCATGTGTCATTATATCAGCCAGTTGTTCCGCCCTCATGATGTATGGAACCTCTATATTTTTGGAGTCGAGATTAACTTTGATGT